AGGGTAAAGGCATAACTGGAGTTGCAGATAGTAACTGAACGTAAAGGTAATAACCCACCTGAGCATATGAATGGCTGTGATACACAGGTGTTCACATCATTGTATTTGTCTTACACATCAGTAACCAACTCTAAGCAACCAGAAAGACCAGCTGGACAATTCCCTTTTCAAAGCATGCTTTTATTGGTATGCATGGTAATTTGTCTACAACAGACAGAGCCACGGCACCCTTGAAAATGCCATGTTTATAAAAATCTGGAAATACAATTTGCATTCAATTAGAAGTTGCTCTCCAACAGAGACAGGGCAGAAGTCATATTTTGTCACCAATAAAGATCTGAAATTGAAATGCCATTTTCCCAGCTGAGAATCATTTAGCAAAAGTCTGAGCAGTTCCCTCCACAATGAAAGCAGGTAAGTCAGTCACAGCTGTGGATGGACTCTAAGACCCATAGCTCTAAATCTCACCAATGGGCCAGCAGATCTGGTCTAATCTAATCAATATATATTATTGTGTTGTTCCCAAGTGAAAAACACTGTCTCATTATAACCAAAATGTCTCTGTAGACAAAGGATTTTTTTTTTTTATTTCCCCTTCAGCTAGCTCTTTTAGGTGCCAAATTAAAGATTGAATTGTTCATTTCATTCAGAGATTTCAAAGACAACTTCCTGGATAAGTTCCTGTAAAATGCAGCCTTAGCTGAGAATATGTGATACTTTGAAAAGACGGCGATTTCCTGGCATAGAACTTTCAGAAGCATCGTTTAGACTAAAAATCATTAACTCCTTTCTTCCTCCAACAATACAGATATTGTCCTATATTGCTCGCATAAGATGCAAAGGCTCCCCTGAGTTCCATTCTCCCTTCAGGGCCACATCACTCTTTGAGGCACTAGCTGTCTCCCTGATACAGGGGAGCCTGCTGAACAGTAAAGCTGGGCTGAATGGACCACATTCATTTTCCCCATTAGGCTTGCCCAGTATGGGTTTGAGACGCACAAGATTATACAGACATAGAAACTGAGTCCGGGCAGGATAATAACTTGCCTAAGATTACACAGTCATTTGCAGCAGTAGTATTTAGACTTAAGAGCATGAATCCTTCCGAAGTATGTGTTCTTTCCATTTCCCTTACCACCGGGCATGCTTTGATGTGGAACATAAAAATGACAAGGACTCAGCTGGTTCCAGCCAATGCATTTACCTTAATCTACCAAACGGACTCCCAATCCACTTTGTTGCAAAGCGTATGCTTCAGTCTATTCTCAGAATCTCATTCCTTTTAACATTAAGTTTATTTTTCTCTGAGGCGACTAAACCTTGCACATCATTGTACTGACTAAGTTTGAATCCTGCTTGTGTGACTTTAGACAAGATACATCAGTTTCTTCATGTGAAAAACGAAATAAGGTTTGTGAGAACATGAGCCTTCACATAAATCACCTAGCCCAGTGTCTGGCACACAGTAGGCCTTCAATGAACATTTGCTGTTGTTATTGTTATTATTATTATTATTATTATTATAAACATATATTACTACTAAAACTTACCTTTATCTGCTTTCCTTGTTCTATTCATTAGGCTTTTTACTTTTGTTTTCCTCATTTATACATTAAATTGGAATGGACTGTGCTTAATTCAGTAAAGTGGCTGGAATAACAATTGTATTTTTTACAGCATTCGACAAAATTGTCGGCAAAATGGGGTCAGAGGCAGCTGGCACTTGAGAGAGAAGTCATTAAGGTTTATTCTAAAGAATCCATTTACTTTTTTTGCTGATGTTGTGAAAAGCAGGAACAAGATAGTCCAACTGTATGTTTTGTAAGGTTTATGTTCTTCTCCTTCTAAAACCTGTCACTTATATGTAATAGGACACTGACTATATATTTTCAATCACAGATAGACTGATTTACAAAAAAAATAAAATAAAATGAAAAATTATGTTGCTCTTTATCAGGAGTTTATTATAAGAGTTTTTAAAAATTATAAATAATGATTCTAAAAATAATGCATATACAAGTTCCCAATTTCAAATAAGTAGTTAAAATTTGCTTCACAAAGGGAAGGATTAACTTTGATATTCTGCCAATATTTATAAAATGCTAGGAAAAATAAAATGGACAGAAGTAATAAGATATTTGTAAATAAAAAATAAATCCCTTAAATACTTCCTGTCAAGGATGATTTCTTTATTGTGACAATGATTGAAATTTTTATTTTTAAAGATTTTAGATTTAAAATTTTTTTTAAAATTCTGATTAGTATTTAATGACATGGGAACAATGCTATATTATATATTAAGTAAATTGAGGGAGAATGGGTAAGTAGAAAGCTAGAATGAAAAACAATGATTAGAAGAAAATATATTAAAATATCAGCGATGTTATTTTGAAGGGGTAGGTGGGCCTCTTTTATTTTCTTCTTTCTACTTTTTCTATTCCAACATGCAGAGAAAAGGAGAATGCTGGGGAGAGACAGGATGTTGGCAGAGAAGAGAGGACTGGCTTCCCAGGCAGGATATCAGCAGGGCCAACAACATAAACTACCCTCTCAAAAGGGCCCCGGGAATAAAGGCTCTCAGACAGGACTGGCAGGAAGAGGACATAGAGGACGTGTCCCTACAAGGGTGTGCGCATTGGCTCCTGAGAAACTGAAAAGGAATTAAACACACTATCTTTTTCACTCAGAAAAATGCCCCAAAAAGGCACACCATCATTAAAGCACATCACCAATTTGCTGAATCCATGCTTCTTCAGAGCAGCTTTTCAAAATTTACTATAGAAAATGCCAGTGTCAACAGTTCAAAGAATGCAGGCCACACAGACATGATTGCATTGCATTTGCATCGTTCCTCTCTGGCCGAAAGTAAGTAAAACCCTGCTCTTCAAGGCTGACTATTTCTAACCCACGTGAACTCCTCCAAGGCCTTTGACTCTTTTATATATTTTGAATCTGGAAGTCCAGCTTATGGCTCTTGCTGATTCTTCACATTTCACCTACAGCCTTTACTAAATGGAGATCTGTGTGCATCACCGCTCTCCGCACTGCAGAGTTCTGCATGCTGCTGCCTTTAAATGAACCAAGAGCCTCACCAAGCTTTTGTTGTCCTAATCAAACCTGGACTTCAATCCTGCCATGATTGGTTTATAGTTTCCAAGCATAGAGCATATTTCATGAGATTAAAAATGTATTAATCAACCAATTCAACCATATTTACTGAGAGCCTATCCTGAATGGAAAGGGATGTACAAAAACAAAACACTGAAATATTTTAACATTACGCTACACAAAGCCTTCTTCCTGTGTCTTAAAATCTTTCTTTACCAACTATTAGGAACTAATTCTGCTGAGAGTTAGAGATCAGAGTCAGATTTCAAATTATTTTCTCTCTCAACTGCATTGCAATGAATAGAAATGTAAACTGAGAGATTCATTTCAGTTCCCTAAAGCTCTGGAAAAACCAAAAGAAATATTTCCTCCATTCCATAATTACTCGACTATGCTTCAGGATAGCATCCCTCGCCCCATTAATGATAGCATGAAGGGCTCCAATTACAAGAGTTTCAATAACTGTATTCAATGAATCATGCAGGAGAGAAATTATTCCCAGGGGGGGGGGGCACACCAAAAAGAAAAATCTAGTATTTGCTGTTGTCTAATAAGCACTCAAAGATATAAAACAAAGCACAACATGGCTCCTTAATGCTAGTTAGCTAAAATCTACATAATTGTGCTAAGCTTTTCATAAGGGGAATTAAATAACAACTATCCCAAACTCCCCAGATGGATTATCATTTTGTAGTGTGTAATGAGTGCCCTTAGAATTCAGAGGAAGCCAATTTAGTCCTTCCTAGCATTTCATTTCCTGTTTGATCTTACTAGACTGCTGTCATCAATCCAGTTGAATGATGCTTTATCTAGCTAAAAATGTAGCCAAAACATTATACTTCGTGCAATAAAAGAATAAGGCTCACATCATTACAATGCTGGTACCACCAACCTGAAAGGAAGCGCTTTAGGTCAAACTGGATCTGTTTCAACAGATTTGCAGTACAACTCAAGTTGCCAAAAGTACAGACCTTCTTTTCAAGGACTTCCTACCATGCTGTCAGCCAAAGGAAACTGTTCCCTAAACACTCTCCAGGTTGGGACTGAATAATCAGGAACATCTATTTATTGAAGAGCTTAGCAAAACTGAGAAGTGGCTTTAAATAAAGAGCTAGCATAAGGGAGAGAAAGACTATAGTTATACGTTTTATTTTCAAGGTCTGATAAATTCCCCTGTCGGATATCAAAATTTAATGCTATGCTTTTCAGAACTTATAAGTATGAAAACTATTTTTACTAGTCCTTGCTAGTAATGTCTTCAGTTCCCCTGACATAGCAGGAGGCACCAATCAGTCTAACAGTTGTAAGAACGGCATAAGCACAAAGCGGACTTAACATTCAACAGATGAAAACTAATCCGAGATCTTGCCCGGGGACTTGCTTTCAAACATTTTCATAATTAGTCACTTGCTATCAAATCTGAATTAAGGGCATCTATATATAGTTTCCTTACTCCATCGTAGCAGGCTTTACATGGGAACTGAGGAGCTTTGGCCCCAGAGCCCCAGACAGCTCCATATCCTGCCGCAGGCAGTTGCTGAAGGCATCAAGACACACCTAGAAAAACACACACACGAAAACCACAACGTTCTCTATTGCTCACCCAGAACTAGGCCTCTGAGGCTATTCGGTTATTTTCCAATATTTAAAGACACTACATTATCCTAAAATGACCACGTGTGTGGTATCTCTTAATATCCAGATGTATCTTAAGGGGGATATCTAGTGGACCCCAAGCATAACAGAGAGCCATTTTGATGCCAAACAGCAAATACCATCTGCTTCCAAACTTGATATACTCCATAAGGGCAGAAGGTAGACATGAGCAGGGCCTTTGGAAACACATTGCTTTGGGTTAAAAACTAGTGAACAGAATGTTTAAATATACTTACAGGAAGAAGTATTTGCTCCTTCGGTTGTTACTGATATTCTAATGGGAGACTCTATAAAACATAAAAGTGGAATGAGGCTTTACTGAGTCATGCCACTTAGATTCCTACATTAGAAACTGGCCAGGCTTAGGCATCATGGGAAAAAGAGGACTAGAAAACGGTGCAACAGAAAAGCTGAAGCATTTCCAAGTCTAAGGAAGATATATGCAATATTCAGAGACAACAAAGGAGAATTTCTGTAAGTCCAGATCCTAAGACTTTTGAAAGAGATGAAAATGGAGTGGGTCCATCCACAAAGATCGCCCACACCAACTGCTGTAGGCACTTTGTAGAAATACTAGCAGAGCCACAATGCCAGTGAGATAAAGTCCTTCTCTGACATGTGGTCTTGATTTTTAAAAACATTAAACCAGAGAACGATCCCTATATTAAGAGAGAAAGAAAGTCAACTTCCATGCACAGATTAAATAAAAGAAGAATGAGAATATTTGCAGGCAACTTGGTCTGCATAAACATCCTGACCAAACACGGTGCTAAATAACATCCATGCACAATCCACTAGGGGAGTTGTATTAGGATTCAAACAAAACATGCTAAGTAAGTACATAATGCAATCATTAGGGATGTATAGTAGCAAGGTCCTCTTAGGTAGCAAGGATAAGGAAGGAAACCAGAATGTAAGTACAGACCTAATAGAAAACATAACTCATGCAGAAAGAAAAGACAGTGTAGGACCTAAGTGTTTATATTAGTAAGAAATAAGAAAAATTTAGTATCAAAAAAGGATTGAAATTCAGCAGCCAGAAGTTATAATGATTCAAGTTATATATCAGAAGATAATAGTAATACTCTAAATTCCAAGATAAGTACCACATAAATTTAAAAGCTCAGGTTCATAACAGCATCTACTGGAGTTGGATAATTAAGTCCCCACATTTAAAATAATAATAATAAATTCCTGAATAAAAAGTGAAGAGTTTCACATAAGGATTATTTTCTTTTTATCTCTCTTCTTCCTTCCTTCTTTCCTTTCCTCCTTCCTTCCTCCCTCCATCCCTATCTTCCTTTCTCTTTCTTACTTTTCTTCCTTCCTCCCTTCTTCCTTCCTTCATACAAATACTTATAGCTTAGTAATGGTCCATAAATATGCCCTAAATATGGCCAAAACAATCTAGGATATAGAGAAATTTAGCTTTTATGAATTTAACAATGGCTTTGAAAGGAAGATTAAAACCTAGTAAAGATAACATTTTTTTTTAAAGTTAGTTGTGTCAGAGTATATGGCCTCCTAGACAAGGTACAGGACATAATTAAAAAAACAAAAAACAAAAAAACAACCAAAACTTTAAATCTGGAATAATGAAAAGAGTACTGAATTTGAAGTGTCTGCTCTTCTGAGCTTGCTGACCTATACGACTTAACATTCCTAATGTTTCAGCTTTCTCACTTGTAAAATGAAGCGAAATAATGTCTTGTTTCATGAATCTGTGGTCATTATGAAATGAGAAATAAAAATCTTAGTAAAATGTAACTTAGGAAAAAAATAAGTTATTATACCTTTGAAATAAGATTGAAATTCAGGTCTGCAAAAATTTAACCCATGTCAGCTTCCAGCTGATTATTAATTCTTAAATATGTTAAGGTTCTGTTTACTACACAATTACAGGAATAAGAAAAAAAATTCTCAGTAGATTAATTAAATTTAAGGATATTGGAAAAATGAATGAATTATGGTTATAATGCATAAGTTCACTTGGGTTATACGTAGTGAGTATCTATTCAGTCTAAAATTGCTCTCAGCAAATATTATAGGCAAGTGAGAAACAAACCAAAAAAAAAAATGCAACAAAATTTTTAAAAGTCACTGGCTTGTTTTTTAAGTTTAGGGACCCACAACTGATCATTAAGTGCTCAAAGCACATATCAGACACTGATACATTATCCAGGAATAAACTAGGGTGGATGAAAGAGAGCAGAGGCAGCTAAGAAGAGTACCTATAAAGATATAAAACCTGAATTTACAGCCTAGATGCCTCCTTTCCTGTTCTCATGTCACTAAATTGTCTCTGGACATAGATTTCTTTTCCTCGTGCATGTCTCTCAGGCCCAAGTTCAGACATACATCAAGAACTGCATTCCATGAAGCAAAATCCAGAAAGGCAGATGAGCTGGAGGAAAAAGACTGGGGCAGAAAACAAGAGCAGCTGAAACTTGGATGCAGAGGGGTTCTGATTAGTAAAGAAGCAGCCAGCAGGGGTACCAGTCCTTCTGGTTAGTAACATTTTACAAGCTTATTTCCTTACCTGGAGATACATATGCTCTTGCAGTTGAGTTTGGCATGCCAGTGTTGACCTCTGCAAAAATAAAAGGTGATAGGATATTATGATATATATTTAGGAGTCTGCCTTCAACCAAAAAATTGGGTGTAATAGGAGGAGGTATTGCAAGGGGGTGATGAAAGGCAGGCTTTATCCAAATCTATACAGAGGGTTACAAATGCAAAGAAAGACTGTCTGGGAAAGCATGTCTTCTTTCTTGAGCAAAGAGCATGAGATGAACTGTGCTAGAATAATTAGGAAGAATTTACTGCCCCCACTGGGGTCAAAGAAGGACAGTATATGGCAAAGAGGTTGGGGGCTCCTCTTAGAAAGGAAGGCAGAAATAGCAGAACTGAGAACATCAAAGCTGTAGTTAGAATTTTAGAATCATGGGTCTTTGGAGAATTATATTTTGGTTCAAAAGCAAAAGCAGGCAATGTTTCTATTTGGGATGGATGGAAAACATCAAGTTCTGGCATTCAACTCTACATAAGATTTTCAATTATAAGCAAGAAGAGGGGTGCTTTATCATATGATAGACATACATTTCAGCTGGACAGGACACAGAATAAGTAGGAAGCTCCCACCCCAAGGAAAGGAAAAATGAACCTGCACACTCTGGACACACCGTTTCTTCAAACTCTGACTTGCTTTCTTACCACCTTTATGGTGATAAAAAGAATGATTCTATTGTCTAATTCTGAAAAAGGTTTTCCACTTGTTAAGATGTAATATTTCCAGTAAGGCATAGTTTTATGAAACCTAGAAAGATGTAGAGATGATGAATACCATTCAATCTTCACTGTGTGTATAATGATTATTTAGTGGCATACTAGTATTTTACTATTTGCTTACAAAAAGATAAATTGAAACCTTTATGATATATATATATATATATATATATATATGTTATATATATTACAAAAGTTACTAGATGTTACTAAAATCCTAAGCAGGTCAAATATGCTATCAGTTAATAGCCTGTTAATCATGGAGTTAGAAATGTTCATGATCAATGTAATTATCTTTGTATATGGATATGACCTTTTAGGATTTCCATGATAGGACTAGTAGGTAAGATAAATTAATTTAAAGGGGTAATCATTTTTAAACCTCAGAAGCTTCTCTAGGGATAAAAGGTTTTGTGAAATTGGAAGAAAAAAATGGCATAAGAGATCCAACGGGAATGCTGAAGAACAAGCATAGGTTAAATATGAATATATAAAGATCGGAAATATACCTATAGTAAGTAAAACCAAATGTGTCTTTTTCATGCAAATTATATATGGATAGTCCTCTCTAATCAAGCATTAGGACAAAGCATTCAAGGTGATTATTATCAAGCCACCAAAGTTGCCTACACAGGTTCTTATATCCACTACAAATGGGACAAGGAGAGGAGAGGAATCAGTATGTGAGGGTGTAGGATACCCTTTGGACTTTCTCAAGCAACAGACATTAAAGAGGACATTCTGAGTTGGTAATAAAGCAATATCTGTTTCTAACGTGGCTACAACTAGCTTTCTTGATTTTGGCCATAGAAAATAAAATTACTTTTCTTTGCGAAACATTTAATTAGAGAGAACCTTTTTAACCAAAGATTCATAGCATTTGTCTTTATTTATGAAGAGCTAGAAGATGCACATTTGCAAGCAAAGTGCCTACATTGGAAGAGATGCTTCCTCATTCTGTCCTTCAGGACTCATCAATGACATGACAGCCAGACTGAAGAAGTAAGCTCAGTCATAAGACTTGGGCAGAAGGCCCAATCCCAGCATGAATGACTCTTCACATTTATTTCTGACGAGCTAAGTAGTTGGTCACCGTGACCTTCCAAGGAAAAATATATTAGAATTCTTCCGTCTTTTGCATAAAAGATACCATGTTAGAGGAAAGGTTAACCATAATGTTTCCTTTTTAAACTGAACATTACATTAAAACACCAGAACAGGAAGTTACTACAAAGATGTATCTATACAGAGACAATTTAAAATAACCTCCATCGCTATAATTAGATATTTATCTTGGAGACCTTTGAAAATACCTGTAATGATTATAGTTCTGAATGAAAACCTCCTGATTTATCTTGGGGGGAATATTAGCTTAGAAGTTACATACTTTATACACTAAAAGAATCTTGCTAATAAGAAAAATTCACCTTTTTATTAAAATCACTCAGCAAACATTTTCATGTGTGTTTGGAGTAGAATTCATAGATTTAGAAAACGACCTTTTGTTATCAGTGTAATTGAAAATAATTTTATCTTAAATTTTATAGATTTAAAAGTATTAAGTCCTGCAATCTCTTCGATGTTTATTTAAGTATCATGTTTTCTCATAGCGATTTGGAATATTAAATTTGTTAACTTAGAAAGGACATCTGCTTCATTAGTGCAAAATAATGAGGATTTAGAATCATCAGGAATTGGATACAACTTATGCTGAGTAGGCAAGTAAACATAAGGGACATTAGTATATTTGTAATGTTTGAATGCTTTTATAATAAATTGGAGCTGGTCTCAAGAAAAAGTTGCAGTGTCTAAAAGTAACACCTTCTGGAAAGCAATTTTTGTAATAATTAGATATGCATGACTTGTTTCAGACTTCACCATAAGCATAATATAATAAAAATGAGCATAATATAATAAATATAACTATTTAAAACAAAGCACATATACATATATACAAACATACATAAAATGTTTCTGTGTACATTCAAATATTAGATTTTGTGACTATTATTCTAAAATTACAGGCCATGGTTGTGCATACAAAGCATTTGACCAAGTCTCTTTTTAAGATTTAGATAGATACACATGTATTAGCACTGATAAAGAAGACTTCAAGAACATCTTTTAATGTCTGAATTTTGCTCATAATTAGTGCTTACATTAAAGTAACTAGAAAATTTAAAAATTAATAAATAGTAGAGATTGGATAGATTTTATGCATTAAAAAGAAAACTCTATTCCACTCATATTAACCTTCTTGAGACTCCTACATAATACACCAGACATGGAGAGTACTATACAAATTATCAAACATATTTTATATGCTTCTCAGTATAACTACAGGTTGTTCATCAATGCTATAACATTTGCAACAACATTGTCACCTGAGGAGAAAAGGTGAGGCTAAGACCTTTACTCAGACAAGACAATTTTTCAAAAGACCAATTGATATATTAGTCAAATTTTTTGAAGTAATATTTTTTATGCTCATCACAGATGAAATATCTTTTTATTGCTATGAGGCCAATTTCTCCTATGGGATCTTGAATCTCACTCAAATAATTTTTCTCCTAATTAAAAAAGAAGAAAACCTACTAGAAGATATGATTGATTAGTTGTGTATTCTCCTGTATTAATCTTTTAAGAGGCAGCAATATTTAATTAATTTGAAAACCAAATAAATAATAGCTAGGTCTATTATTCTTGTCCCTAAGATGATACCCAGGAGTTTCCATGAAACTTCTTAGCTAAGAATTCATTGCTAAATTAAGGATTCTTATTAAAAACATACATAAGTTAAATGAAATAAATATACAGTGTATGAGCTTTGTAAGCATAGTACACATGGTGTACATGGCCTTTTAAACTGCCATGTTTGAATTCAAAAGAGGATTCCCCTTGTAGCCATCATGTAATAATGACTCCCTCTGATATTCTTTTTTTATATGAAAGCTCAACTGGACTTTGTTAGGTTTGTATTATTCTCAGAAGAAATTAGCTGCTCCCATAGGTTTAGATCTGTCTATTGTAAAAAATTCTATTTTTCCCCCAAATAAGGTAGGGATTAAAAAGCATTGGAAAGTCAAAACCGGTTTGGCTCAGTGGTAGAGCGTCAGTCTGCGGACTGAAAGGTCCCAGGTTCGATTCTGGTCAAGGGCATGTACATTGGTTGCGGGCACATCCCCAGTGGAGGGTGTGCAAGAGGCAGCTGATCGATGTTTCTCTCTCATCAACGTTTCTAGCTCTCTATCTCTCTCCCTTCCTTTCTGTAAAAAATCAATAAAATATATATTTTTTTTAAAAAAAAGCATTGGAAAAAAAAGAAAAGATATACATTTCTAAAATGTAATTTAATAAATTGATTGGCTACATATACTATTTTCTAAATGCTCGAAAATAATAGAAATATGGTCATTGTTTCACTCAAGCATGAAATGATTCAAGGGGAATTTCTTAGTTGCTTTTTTTCCCCAAATCATTTCATTTAGTTGTTACTCTAAGTGGATTTAAACAATGAGTTTCATTTCAAAAAGTTCTGAATATTGAGTAGAAGGTTTTATGATATGCTAATTTTATTCTAATAGTTATTGAGCTGTCTTAATGGGATTAAACATAATGTCACATAACAAGGTCATCTTGCTACATTTTTTAATTTTTATTTCTGGGAAGAAAATTGGGTTCTTTTCCTCTCTAAACAAGTATTTTTTATAACAACACACTCCCTTACATGTCTGCTCCTAACTCAAGTCATCCCTCCTGGAATATTATACCAAAATGTATTTCTAAACATATTGGCTGAAAGAAAGTGTGAGAACTTAAGTAAATCACAAGGAATTGTTTGCATAAATGAAATTAGAACAATGAGTTCCAGCAACATACCAGTATCTTTCACTAAGGCTACCTGTAAAGACATGACCAAACCACAGTTGTGCACTTACTCGAAATATGGCAAAGGTGACTAAGACAACACAAAATAAACAATTTACTGATATGTTATAGAAACACAACATCTCAAAGGAGTTCTATGTAATATAATATTTTGATAACATTCATATTTCCAAACCTTTTTTTCTAGGACCACCACAGAAAAATAAATTCTTAAGAATCCCACTCTCTGAGAGTCAAAAGTAAGTATACATCAGGAAGAGAAGGTACAGCCATATGGCAGTGTATAACCACCATAGAATGTTATTTTCTTCCCTAAATGAGTGTTTCTCAGCAATCTCTGCCCATATTCCTAGGAAGACAGGAATGAAACAACACAGCTAGTGCCTCTAAGTCCCACCAAGCTCAGGACCCAAGCTGACTTCAATGATAACCAGATTTGATCTGGGCATAGCAAATTCATAGACAGCAGTGGAAAAGGGTGAAAGATCAGAATGGCTACATGTTTTCCTTTCAGTTGCACTCTAACTAAGCCCCTGCAGTGTGTGAGAAGAGTCTCCCAATACACACAATGCACTGGCCTTGTCAGTCATGGCACCTGCCAAGCCACCTGCTCTGATGAGGGCACTTCCCACCTATCACCTCTGAGACAGGGTTATTTTTTAGTTTCTATAGTTTTACTCTCCTGGCCTGAGTCCCTGGTAGGTCTATGAGGAAAAAGCAGATGATTTGTAAGCTCTCTAGATCTTTTCCATGTGGTCTGGTACAATAAGCCCTACCAATCAGATTTTTGCTATGGAGAACTAAGGCAACAATCATACAGGAAGAGTTAAAACTGACAGAATGCCTTAAAAGGGACCATGAAGAAAAAGATGGGATCATAACCAGGTCAGAGTTTGGAATCATGAAGAGGCAGAGTTGAAAGTAGGATTGATGAGAAGACACCAGAAACAGGGGAAGAATCAAGACGTTTCTGAGGCACATGAAAGCCAAAAACCAAAAAGAGCCACAGACTCCCCTCTGTTTCACAGAGATGCCTTGGGTTCAATTCCAACTCTTTGAGGCCTAGTTATAATGAAGCTCTACTTCTTCCCCATGGAATCTCTTTCTCTTATGCCTCACACCATCCCTTCAAGTTTTATTCTGTTTAAACCAAAGAATCTACCTTAAACCCTAGCAAACACAGTTGGTATTCAGTGAGCTAAACTGGACCAGGAATTAAAGGAATCTGGGGCCAAATCCCATTGCTACTAAATATCTTCTGATCCAGAATGTGTCTGTTCAAGAGATAGTCTAAGTCTCCATTTCTTCTTAAATACAAGGAGAGGATTGGATAAGTGTGAACTCTTCCTAATGTTCTAAGAAACACACACACACACACACACACACACAAGACCACCTCATACTATAATTGAGATTCTTTATTCTCCTTCAGATGCTTTAAATAAACCAATAAGAACCCTCTCCCTGAAGAATTTTAGTTGGTTGTGGAACACTGGCCTTCTTCCAATATTTCATGAAATTCTCTCTATTATTGTCAAGTGAAAAAAAAAAGATTATGAAAAACATGCCTATTTCCATTTCTCTACAATTGGGTGTGTGTGTGTGTGTGTGTGTGTGTGTGTATATATATATATATATATATATATATATATACACACACACATATATATATATATATATTCAAAAACAAAACCAATTCTTGAATGAATATGCAAAAATAAAGTTTCTTCTAGATATGAGAAAAATGTAAAAAACCTATTTTCCAACTTTTGGTATCTCCAAATTTATTAAAAAAGGAACCCTATAGTTTTTTTTCTGGGAAAAAACTATAGGGTTAAATAACTCACTGCTTAATCCAGTAAAACAGGAAACATGGAATAATCAATATAATACTACTGTAAGCACTCAGGGAGACCATGACACTTACTCTAATTTGATTTTCCTGGAACTTTATGGTATGCATAGCTACATATATCTGTTCCAAGAGTCAAAATCATAATTCAATAGCATTTACCATGAGGAGACACATTAAGCTACTAAACATGGTATGATAAGAAGAAAAAGATAAGCCACTGAAATTATGAATTTGTGTTTCAGTAGCATCCTATAAGACTCCATGTGGCATAACAAAAAAAAAAAAAGCAAAAATCTATTGCTTAACCAGTGCTAAGAAATAAAATAATGTTATATTTACCCATATAGATTTTAAATGGTTTTTACATTTTAAAAATTATAAATACAGCTCCTAAAAAAAGTATTAGAAACTAGTACCTTTTACTGTCATCCTTTACTCTCCGTGGATGGAGATATTTAAAATGACTATCATTACACTGCAATAGAGCAATTTATTGGGAAGTCCTAAGAATTAACCTAGATTTTTCTAACCCTTCCATGTTTTTATCTCACTCCTTTCTATCTATCCTATTAAGTCAACTGACACAAACTACATCCATCAGTCTCCCGTGATGTTGACTCTGAAAGTTGGGGAAAGTTACTCTTTACTGCTGGACGGGCATTTTTACATTCTCACTTTAAGGGATTGGGACTTTGCCGTGGACACTCTTTGTCATCAATTACCGAGAAGCAGGGCATCGAGGCTTGGTTTTAGCACAGACAGCAGGATTGTGAAGGCAGTAGTGAAGCGCGAGATTCAGAAAGAAAAGAAAGCTTCAAAGATTTCGAAGTAGCATTTTATTATTTCAAGAGATTTAAATGCTCACTGCCAGCATGCCCTCAGCTTCTATAAATGACTCCAATTAATGGAGTACTGGGGTGTTGTGAACAGAGAGCCACCAGCTGCGGGTCTTTTACTGTCCTCGAATATTTCAGAGAAATTGTCAGAGGGTGGGTGGTAACAAGTCACTCATTTGTTTAACAAATATCTCTGGGCGCTGTTCTCAGGAAAATAGAAGCTAAAGTTTGTACACAGTAAGAAATGCTTTGCCTCGACTCTTAATTTCAGAATAGGCCTAAACAAACATACAGACAAACATCAACAAAAATACTGAATGGCCTCACTTTCAATGACCTAGAGCCAGATGTATTAAAAATACACCTAAAAGATTGCTAAGGTTGCCGAAAATGAAACAAGATTGTGTTTTTTACATACACAATATATATCTATTTATATATAATATATATATGTAAATACATACGATACACATAAATTCTGTATACACATATATGTTCTGTAATAAATGCACATGCATACATACATATTCTATTGTTGATAAAGCCAAAGGCTTGACTGCCTTCCATGACTAATTTAAGGAGAAGAAGAACTTCTTTCTTTTAGCACCCAGTCCTGTCTCTGCCATTCAAGAGCTTATCCAATTATTTTTAAAAATCTATGCATATTTCAGGTTTTTATCGCCTCAGGGAATCTCAGAGAGTTTACCATATATTTAAAATATATATTTTCTTATATTTGTTCATAATGAGATTTTAACACACCAATTTATTACAAGGCTTACCACACAACATCATTACCTCTTATACAGATTCAGACACAGAATGTAGTAGAGTATCTCTTACCATTTGACTCCACGATGGTGATATTGGCAGAGGCACTATCATTTCCTAACTTGCTGGTCACTCGGCACATGTATTCCCCAGAATCGGCCAGTGATGCTTTGTTAATGCGAAGTTCTGACTTCCTATAAGATCAGAACCAAAGTGGTGTAAGTATATTTCACAGAAATACAGTGATCATCAAAATATATGTCTCTGAAGTTTCAGAGTTCTCAAACTCCCGGCTGTATATACACCATATTAAAACAAAGCTTACTATACACAGATATATATAATTTACCAAAAGTAAAAGTGAAACACTTATAGCATTTAAGTTATACTACTGATATAGCCTTAATTTTAGCACTCAAATCAAGAATTTTTCTCTTTATTCCTCTACCACCACCATTATGCCTCAGATTTTTTTCTCAACCCAATCGGTAAATTTTCTTTCCTCTGTATTTCTAAATGTCACCAGCCACTATGGTTTAGGACAGTAAAAAAATAAAATAAAATAAGTGTTTCATTTCTTACAAATCTGGTAAGAGCAGACATTTAAGGCTTGAATAGATTAAAATGCTCTGCACTTCTTTCTTCAGTAGAGTAACATCAGGAATTATGTTAATTTTGAATGAAAAGGATTTATTACTTCCAAAAGAAAGGGAATTTGTCTTCCTTTAAGGCTCATTGCTAGGAGCACAGTACCACACAAACAGTGCTTAATGTTGAAATAAATATTCATGCAACAATAGCATACACTTTTATTAAACTCTGCACATTAAATCAGTGTTCAGCATTCTTTTTGAACACAGGCAGCATTTTGATTGCAGTTGTCTATGTTTTACTGTTGCACCTAGCCTATAATTTCAGCAGTCTCTGTTATTTAAAAACTCAGATATACTGAGATTGGCTCAGAATTGACTAAAACCGCTTATTTTATTATTTTCTATAACTATATTTTAATAGGATGAGGTGACTGTTACAATACAAAGCCTTTTACAAGCCTGGTACAGAGTGCCTGGATGACAGTAGGGAGAAAAAGAAGGCAGGGAACAAAGATGGAATTCAGGATTATATGCAAACTTCCTGTAAATTACACCTTCCTAGTTTTCAGTGAATTTTCTGGTCTTTTTGTCACATAATATTATTAGTTAAATTAGAGTCATTATTCCAAATTTAATTCCTACTATTCTCTTCCATTCTATCAAACTGAGCCAACCCACCCAGTTCCACATGTAAGCCTTATGGTCTTCCATCTTGTGGTCTTACATGGGTCATGTCTTCCTCCTCGAGTGGGGACCCCCCCCCAATTCAAATCATCCACCTATTAGCTGACATGAGCATGGAAGAGCCATCTCAAGTGCCAATTTCTGCATCAAGACTTCTATGGTCATGTAGCGTGAGCTGCTCTCTCCTTGGTCTACATTCTGACAGCTCTGAGTACCTCTCTCATGATCCTCATGGTACCCTCAGGATGTCTTATCTCTCATGTTAGCAACACACACTTTAAAGGGAGCCCATAATTTAAACTTCTGGGTGTCACTGCTTTGTCCTTGGTGCATCCTCAAACATTATTAGATACATGTGTGAGTAAATGAAGAAAATATTTGAATGTTCCCACTTAAGCTCTCTGCAAGACATCATGTTTCTATTGCTGGCTGTAGGAAAGGAGGATGCACTATTAAGGGGTCGGAAATAGTCAGGGGTCCTCCAGATCAAGGACAGCCATAGTCAAACCAACATGTGGATTGAAAAATGAGCTTCATGACCTATAACTCAGAACACTGTCAGCAGATTAACTGTAGAAAACAAAACAAAGTGCACTATGTTCAAATAAGTTTGGAAGATAGGTTAAACAAAAATGGGCTTTCTTTTTTTAAAAAAAAAATCTTACATGGTTTCTCAAATTCTTTAATATGTTAATATATTCTGACTTCACAAGGTGGGGGATGTATTGTAAGTTTCTCTCAAACTTATTTGACCATGGAATTTTTGTCACTCACATGGCTTATCTATATATTTATAAAAGGCTAATATGGCAAAGTATCCCCTCGGGAGCTGACTGGGAGAATAGGAGTTCGATCACTCACTATGACTTGCGCTGACCACCAGGGGGCAGTGTGGAACACAGCGGGGACCAGCAGTGCTGGTGGGGCGCTGAGGAAGTGAGGAAAGGAGAAGGAAGGGAGGCAGGGAGGTGGGGGGTAACCACCCGGTGGTGGAGCACAGGTGTTGAGGGAAGGAGGAGGCAGGGAGGTGGGGAGGCAGGGAAGCAGGGAACCTGATTGGCCCTGGTCCCCAGCCAGGCCTAGGGATCCTACCTGTGCACGAAAATTTCATGTACTGGACCTCTAGTCTGCTAATATTTCCTGAAAATAATGGTCTACAAAACATAGTTGATAAATAGTGAACCTAATATAATAACAGCTTGTTTATCTATATAATGAGAAGAAGACCCAAGGGCTATTTATACAGGGACATTTACATATATTAATCAGAAATGTTATTCATTGAAAACTTTCCCTGAAGCACTCGTATATCCTGATAAGCCAAAACAGATCAATTGGATGGCAAGCATCCTGGAAAGTAGATATTAAGATTTAATAATAAAATGTGACAGCTTTTAAAATAACCAAAATACAATAATAATAAGGTATTTAGTCTCCTGTCAAGTTCTGATGACATTTAAGCCTGTTTTGAGATATTCAAATCTAGTGCTTTTTAAATGAGTTATCAGCTATTTGTACATGACAAGTTTACTTCATAAGAGACATCTATGCAGAATAATGAGAAACAATGGAATCAATATTACAATAAGCTTGTCCAGCCCAAAATCACATGCTTAACTGAAAGAATTTTCATTTATGACCATGGAATCACTAACAATAATTGACAGATAAGTTATGAAGGATGGGGAATAAAATCCTGGTTTTCAACACAGAAGAAAAAAAGAATTTCTACAATGATATTAATTTTTAAGCCCCCAAACACTGAAATAAGATTATTAAAACAACCATCCAAGAATGTAAAACACCCCAAGATTATGATAATTCCAAGAACAACTCTTCTTTCTTATTTATTTAAATCTAAGGAGAGTTTATGGTACGTAAAGAATTTGTTCTTGACCCTGTCATTATTATTTTAACTATTGAACTGAATCAAATGGTAAGAAACATGGTAATCAAATTTATAATCTTAAAGTTAATTTTAAAGTTAATTCCTAAAATCAAAATTCTCCCAATAGACCTGGGCAGTGTTTTCTAGAATACTATTCCAAGTAATACAAATAAATGTTTTCCTTAAAAAAGAGAGGATAGAAAAAAAAATGTTCTGTGCTAAGATAAATGTTGCATTAAACAAAGTTAAATAAATTAGTTTACAACAGTGCCTTTTAATTGTTTTTATGCCAATATGTACAGAGAATTTCTAAGGCAGGCATGTGGCTAAGGATCCTTTCGATAGAGAATACCCTTGGGAATTCTAGCACTGAACATCAATGGGCCAAAACCAAGATTCAATTTAATCATGCTAAGCAAAACAAATACATTCAGGTTCAAAAAGCAGTAGCAGAAATACAGCCTGCAAGAGACGTGTATTGACAACAATATATTCAGAAAAGAGGATTTCAATTAGTCATGCATTTCACATTACTCCATTTTAAACAACTATTAAAATTTTAAAAAATTTTAAATTAATTTATTCAATGTTTGGTCAAAAACAGAATAAGTCAAATTAGATAAAAGTCTTAATCCATTGCTCACAGGCTGGATCTCATCTAGAATACTGAATTCTGTTTTGAAGTGGCATTTGATGAAAAATATAAATAACTAGAGGACTTTAGAAGAGGGTGATTAGAACAAAATAAGGCACACAGGAGATTCTGTTAAAGAAACAGAGGTCCCACTGACATGCAGTTAGTTATGAACAAGGTATGGGTAGCTATTTTAATGTATTTCATGGTTGTCATCTAAGAAAGAAAATTATTGGGAGAAGCTCTTGAAAGAAAACTACATCTTAGAGGGAAAATAAGGCATACTTTAAGTGATAGTCTAAAAAAAATGAGTAGGATATCTAGTGAGTTAGCTTTCCTTCTTTGGAAAGAATGAAGTCTGGATAACCACCTGTCAAGTATCTTCTTAACAAGAATGTCTCTATGCAGAGAAAGATTAAATTAGATCAGTGGTTTCAACTATTTTTAAAAAAGGAATCCTGTTTTAAAATGAAAGCTTATATTAGCGCTTCATATTTAAAAATATGTTAAAGAGAGAAAGTATTCAGCTCATGGTGGTTGGCAATACTTTCTGGAATCCAGCGGAAACAATATTCTTAGGGAAATAATGGGTAAATCATTGATTGAGGTGCTAATTAGTAGGGCCCCTTGAATGCTGATCATATGTTTAAGCTGAGATTCTTCAATCTTTGTGTCCTAGAATAGGAATGGGAAGTGGCAAGAGAATAGAAATAGACAAAATTTTTATTGAAAATTATATACTGCAATAATTTGGGGCTTTGATAAGTAAGGAAACAATGGTTTTGCTTTACTCTCAGCAAATTACAACACAAAGGAGGATGTTAACTGAAAAAATAATTACTGAAATTTCCTCCCAATAATAAAATTAACTTTTGGCTCTTTAATTGATAAGTTGTCTGAGAATCTGGGAGGGGTTGATATTTTGGTGGATTTTCATTTTCTCAGAACTATTAAAAGAGTTAATTTATTTTTTAAAAGTTTAAAACAATGCTTTAAATAAGCTACTGGTAAATGTTAGCTGTTATTATAATCACACTCTACATTCCTGCAATATTTAATTTTTATAATAAGCATACATTACTTTTGAAATTAGAAAAAAGAACACAATGCAAAAATAAATGAATACAAACTGATTTATAAGTGAAAGTGTTTTTAAATATATATATATATATTTTTTATTGATTTTTCACAGAGAGGAAGGGAGAGAGATAGATAGCTAGATACATCCATGAAAGAGAATCATCAACCAACTGCCTCCTACACACCACTACCTGCAACCAATGTACATGCCCTTGACCAGAATCAAACCTGGGACCTTTCAGTCCGCAGACCTACACTCTATCCACTGAGCCAAACCAGTTTAGGCTATAAATGAAAGTTTTAAATATTAATTTTTTTCTCCTTTCATATCAAAATGCAAACTATGTTCCTTCAATAAGTGCTCACTAACAAGATGGATTCACAGTACCAACAGCAACTCTCATTGTTCTTACTTAGCGGTTCTTCCACTATTGTTGACATGTCAAGACAACTTCAACGTTATAGGGAACAGTTGATATAATTCCATTCTTCTGATTTCTAAGGAACCACATTTGAGCTGTGTGTGTGTATGTATGTATGCATGCATGTGTCAACACAGCTTCAGATACTGTGGAAGTGCCAATAATGAGAAGATGAAAAAGACTTCATAGGCAATTATTACACTGTATAGAACCAAGCAATACACCTAATGCCTCACATAAACCATAGAACATAGGCACTTGGTGTTCCCATTTTAATAGTATATGTAAGAAATTTGAGATTTTCTTACATATAAAGTTATAGTGACCTCCCAAAGCAGCTAAGCTAAAAAGAGAAGGGTATATGGCCCTAGCTGGTTTTGCTCAGCGAACAGAGTGTCGGCCTGCAGATCAAAGTATCCTGGGTTCAGTTCCAATCAAGGGCATGGACCCTGGTTGCAGGCTCCTCCTTGGTGGGCCCTGATTGGGGCTCGTGCAAGAGGCATAATGTATTTCTCTCACATGTTTGTCTCTGTCTTTCCCTCTCTCATTTACCCTCCCTAAATATCAATGGAAAAATATCCTCAGGTGAGGATTAACAAACAAATAATAATAATAATAATAATAATAATAATAATAATAATAATAAAGAAAGAAAGAAAGAAAGAAAAGAGAAGGGAATATGCATTAACTTTTTCTACTTTAGAGGAAAAAATGCAACAATTAACAACAGAAAAAATAATTTAAAAATTTTTTTAAAAAATTTGACCAAATAAGTACAGCCAATTTGAAACAAAATTAAAAGATGCAAGAACAGAAATAAAGAACTGAGAAAAAATTAAGGGCTTCCCAAAGGGTGTGCCATGAACAAGCAATAGGAAGTCAGCATTTAATAAGGCTGATGTAGAACCAGTGTTGAAATGAGGCCAATCTGCCAGCCCCAGACATGCATCTGCCACAACCAGGCTCTTTAGCCAGGTTTCTTCATCAAAGTCATTCACCAGGCAAAGGAAACAAGAACAAAGGAATCAGCAGACACATACACTGGAGCAGTTTCCATTTCTTTTAATTGGTCCCACACATTGATTGGCCAAATAAAACAAACAAAGGCTCAAACGTGAACTCAGAATCATAGAAAGAACATGTAGGAATGTAGTTTATTAGCTGGAGCAGAAGGGAGATAAGACTTTACAAAATAATAGAAATTGCAGACTGTCTCAAAAGCTTTTCATAACGCTAAGGGATTAAAAAAGAAATCCTGGCTGCTATGGACGATCTAGATTATAAAATGTGAAAAAGAAACCTTAGACTGAGGCCTGGGAAAGAGTCGATGTTTTACGTAAATAAAGAGAATCCCAGAGAAAACCTAAACCTCAGACTAAAATTCACCTCTGCTTGTTGATCACGGGTCTAAAGATATAGCTCATTGGCTCTTGGCCTCTTTGCTAAAATCAAATGTAAGTAAGATAAAATTTAAGTCAAGTAACCAAGAAACCACTGCAAACCATTAATGTTTTAGATAGCATGGTAATGAGAAATTATACATATGTATATGCAACTAAAAAATACGAATGTTTTTATTAAAGACTTCATTCTATGCTTAATCTCGTCCCTAGCCCTGTGTTGTGACTTCACCATAGATAGCAAAATCACAAGTATTTGTGAAAAGATGTGGGACAGGGAGTCAGACAAACTTCAAACCCAAGTTTTACCATTCATTAACCTTAGATATACAGGAAGAAACAACTTATTTTATTCTCAGTATCTTTATTTTATTTTACAAAATAAAATATGTTGTTTTTTTTAATTTATTTTATTTTAAGAGAGGAAAGGAGACGGATTGAGAGATAGAATCATCCATAAGAGAAACATCATCGATTGGCTGCCTCCTGCACACCCCTACTGGGGATCAAGCCTGCAACCTGGGCATATGCCCTTACCGAAAATTGAACCAGTGACTTCTTGGTTCATGGGTCAATGCTCAAACACCAAGCTACACTGGCCAGGCTAGGATCTTAATTTTAAATGAGTATAATAATAACATTATTCATCCTCATATTTATAAGACAACCTGAAATATCAGAACATTTTATAAATGCTAATTACACTTAGATTTAGTTTGATTCTTTAAGCCTAACAAAAGGTGACACAATAATTTTTTTTAAAGATACAACTTCAGAAATTACCAAATACCCAATTCTGAAACCAGATAAGCTAATTACTTATCATGACTTATCAAGTAGCTGCCCACTTTACACAAAGTGTCTTATTTTTAGATCAAATATGTTATGTTACATGTTTTTCCTAGAGTAATTTACAGTTACATAACTTTAATAAAATGTCCTCTTTCCCCCCGCCTCCCCCCCATTTAAGTCCTTCCAGCAAGGCTATTGTTTAAAAGAAGCCATTTCTGAATATTGGCCCGTCTGGTCTAATGGGGTTTTATTAATATGTAGACAGTGCTCTTAGCTGTCTGGACCTATGGAGCCAATAGGAGCATGCTTTTGTGAATACTAATGATACTTTTATATGCCATCCACACCATGTAACAAATTGCCTCTTTAAGGAAAACACACACACACACACACACACACACACACACACACACACTGTACTCTTTCAAAACTGTATTTATTCTAAGCAGTTTACTTTATTTTGTACCTTATTTTCACCTTATCTATCCAGCTCACTTATTTCTTCTCTCCAGGCATCCTCATAATGGTACTTGCAGTCTGCAGATGCTTTGTTCTGTACCTGCAGCCTGGATAAACCCCCTCTCCCTCCCTTCCTCCTTTCCTACTTTCTAGGAAGCCACCACTGTCCCTGACTGGGTCCACTCCCCATCTGTGTTAGCCTCTTCCTACAGCATCTCACAGTTATCACTACAGGACCATTTAAAACTGACTATTGGAGCTGTTTCCTTTTCTCTCCCATCTAGGCTAAACCTCTTTAGAACGGAGAACATGTCTTGTTCACCTCTGCGTACCCAGCATCTAGCCCAGGGTCTGACACATACTGCAACTTGTCCAAGAAAGGTCAAAATGTCCTACCCACTCGCTGGCTGCTCCAATTGGCCTGGCGTGATAACAGGGCCTGCTATGACTGTGATTCCTCTCTTCCCTGTAACCACCCATCCCACCTCACTCACCCAGCCAGGGGAGTCTCCCTCTTCAGCAGAGACAAATCAACCCACCTACAGCTACTCCTGGAGTTCTCAGGGTCCCCCCAATCTTCCCAATGCCCACTAATATTTCATCTCTCTAATTAAACTCTGTCTTAGGATAAAATAGAACTTAACTCAATATAACTATAATAGTAATTTTCTAAAAGATCACTATTGGTAAATCAGTGTGTACTTAACAATCTAAAAGCTCCCCAACCAAAGTGTTTCAGCCCATTATCAATGTATTTCCGATGCATTATAGAAGACTGAACTAGATAATCTCTATACAAATTTATGACCAAACCTGCCTGCATCTTTCGGTGTACAGGACAATGCTCCAACAACGGTGCCACCTGGCCAGTCTAGGCTATAAGTAATTTTTATATCTTAACTCATTCTATTGCTAGGTATTGCCTCTGCTGTAACATGTATTAACTTACCCTGGCCTTTTTTGTATCTTGATGTTTTGTGGTTTGTTCTTTCGGTTTAATTCATTCCCATTCTTGAACCACTTGAATTTGAGAGGAGAGAATTCAGAACTGGTCTCACACCGAAGCACTAGCTTGGAGCCTGCCACCGACTCCTGGCTTTTCATCTCTTTCAATCGAAGAGGCAAAGCTGAAAAGAGAAAGAAAAAGAGTTTTGATCACCCGTAATCATTCAAAGAGAAATTTCAATTTGGGGTGAGCCTGATCCCAGACCCATTCCTAAAGGTTTTATTAATATGCTCAAATAAAATATACTCAGGGTAGAAAAAGACAACTTAGATTACAATTTTTTTTTAAATGTTCTATATAATTAATTCTCTGATACTATTAAAAATCCTGAACAGTGGTCATTTCCTGAACAGTGAACCAAAACCTGAAGACTATATAACTGGGTATGTTTGCGTCCCAGATCACAACATATCTTCATCCCAGTTCTGTGAACAGGTACAACAAGCATCACATCCATTTTTTTAAATAGGGAAGTTCAGTGTCAGAGACAGGTAAGTGACTAACTTTTCCATGGCTGCAACTTTCTGGAGAGTCAGAGATAGATTATCCTATTGTCCCAGGAGGCCCAAAGAACAAACAACTCACAGATCTTCACAATGCTCCTTTCCTCAAGACAGAAATTCTTTGGTGACATCACTCTTTAACTGGACCTATAAGTCGCTGTCCCATCAAACAATGTATAACCATTCCAGATGACCACCATATTCACACCAAATTGTCATTTTGACTGGATTTAGTTCTAAATTTCAAATTGGGCATTAATTTGTAGAACACTTTACATTGAACGTCTTTATAGCATTCTTATTTTAAAGAAGACTGCTTAACAGAGTTTCTCTTCTGAACCGAAATATTTATGAACAAAATGTTGTAATATCTTAGACTTGTTTCAATATCAGATATGGTAGGGAATGGATAGGCATAAAAATGAAACAAATATCCCAAGTTGATTATTGTAGAAGTGAGGCAATAGGGACACATGGTGGTTTGTTAGAAGATTCTATACTGCACTCCAACTTTTCCATAATAAAACAGTTTAAAAATAAAAGAGTAAGGAATGGATCTTCCTCTCTACACACAACTTCACTTTGCAACATTACACACATTGAGAGCTCAACAACTCTGTTTTCACTGAGTCTTAGAAAAGCCAACACAAATCCCCTTCTGCTCAAGTTCAAAAAATTAAAAGCAAGACCCAGAATGAAAAAAGAAAGAAAGAAAGAAAAAAAAACAGACTAATAAGACTGTAACTCCCTAATCCAGTGCACAATTATATTCACTGGGTATGGTGATCAAGACTCTAAGGACAGCAATTAGAGCCACCTCAGACATGAACAGGAAATGGAGTATAGTTCCTACTCAAGGTATGTTTGTTTTTCTACAGCTCTGTCCTTACAAAGTTAAATTTAAAAAAAAAATGTCAGAAATGAGCACATGAAGGTTTCAATAAATTATAGGGGAAATCATTTGAACGCTGTAATTTCTCAGAAAAGCTTCTACAGTGGCCTGTACCCTCGTATTAATTCAGAGGCTGGGATACGAGATGGAGAAGCAGCGACTCCATGGAGAGACACAGTGGCAAGTTTCAAAACTTAGCTCTTCCTAGGCCTTTGATACCTGACACTTTTGTCTGGCAGCTTGAAAACAAGGTTTACTTTCTGAGTAGATTTCATAGAAGTTCTCCTTGCAATATGTAAAAGAACTAGTTTATTTAAAAAAAAAAAAAAAAAAAAAAAAAAAACTAGAACACAACCAACACTCTCACAAGGTTTGAGAGTGTTCCATCCATGTGCTTATCAATATAGTTGAACACAAATCAACGAGGCTGGTTTCTTTAGTTTGAATAAGTAATGTTCATGCCATATGCACCTCTTTTTCCTTCCTTTTTTTCACACCCCCGCCCCCTGTCTTTATTTATTTATTTATTTATTTATTTATTTATTTCCTTATGAAGAATCATGATCTAAATCATGAGGAAACAATAGGACAAATTCAAATAGAGGGATAGTCTACAAAAAAAAAAATTGGTCTAGACTTCAAAAATTTCAATGTCATAAATGACAAAAGAAGACTATAAAATGACCTCTAGCTTAAGGAGATTCAAGAGGCATAACAGATAAATGCAAGGTGTAGCTACGGATTGGATCTTTCTTTATGGATAAAAAAAGAAATTATAAAAGATATTATTGAGACTATTGGGAGATTCTGAATTAAAGGTATTGTATCAAAATTAAATTTCTCAAGTGTGATTACTGCATTGTGGGTATACAGCAGAATATCCTGTTTTTAGGCTGTATCTGCCAAAGTATTTAGGAGTGAAATGTCATGATGTATACAACTAAATTTCAAAGTGATCCAGCAAATACAAAGAGAAAGGGGGAAAAAGTGGTAGGGTGAAGGCTTGACTTCTCTTTTTATTTCCCTGCCTTTTACATCTGATCTTTCTGCCATTGAATAAAAGGCTCAGGTTTACATTAAATACTTTTAAAATATTGGTTAAGTCTTCAATCATGAAGATTTTTGAAATATTCTGTATAATTTACAAATGTAGCTCTTAAAATTAGGTCTCCATTTGAAATCTGTGAGTGGTATGGCACTGAAATCCTAGCAGGTTCAACCTCATAAACATAACTTTGGTAATCCAATCTTACTAGGTCCCTTGATGGGAGGACAATAATCACTCATCTAGCAGGTCAATGTCTAACCTTTCTTTCCTTTTGAGTTCATGTGCAAAGACCGGTACATGCTTTGTCCTTAAGAGAGGGCCTGTGATGTAATGAGGCAGGTATCTTCTTTGCTAAAATATCCACTCCTTAAGCTGACCTTAATGTATAACCATTTATTGATGTCTGGGGTTCAGGTACTGGTATACCTCTACTGATTAGCCGAGTTCTCTCTTGCTCTTAGTTTCAAGTCTGTCAAAATGCAGAAGCTCCCAGCTTCTCTGACCTTGAATCCCTGGAATTCCACTTGTAACAATGCCTCTGCCATGTCCTTCAGGGGAAACCATCTACTACCAAGGACATCAACTTTTCAGAGAACAGTTATTTTAAGGAGCTAACTCAAGATCTTCCACAGCATAAATGTAGACACAAATCTGTGCACCACCAACAGAGCCACGCAGCCCCATGCTTAGACCGTGGGTGATCTACTGTCAGTGGAACCTTCTAGTGACACATCACACAAGACTACTTACACATTCCTGGTTGAGCCCAAATTCAAGGATGCTAGAGACTTTGCAATAACATGCATTGTTCTGTTTTCTCTCATAACCACACTGATGGAATACCCCTAAATATGTCAAAAATTATTGGCAAAAATGCAAGCCATTACTAAGCATATATGGTTTGTATGGTTTTCTTTTCATCTACCCATAATGAGACAATTTTCAATATAGTGTATTTCCTTTCATTAGAATATAAAATTACTAAATGTTAATAGAATAGATTTTAAAAGTATATGTATTTCCCATATATATAGTTTACTCACATGGAACAATCTCATTTCTTTCATAAATTTTTTTTTACTCACCCTAACCAGTTTGGCTCAGTGGATAGAGCATCAGCCTGTGGACTGTAGGGTCCCAGGTTTGATTCCGGTCAAGAATATGTACCTTGGTTGCAGGCACATCCCCAGTAGGAGGTGTGCAGGAGGCAGCTGATCGATGTTTCTTTTCCATCAATGTTTCTAACTCTCTATCCCTCTCCCTTCTTCTTTGTAAAAAAACAATAAAATATATTTTAAAAAATATTTACTCTCCCAAGTACTTTCTAATACTCAGATATAACTTTAGAAGGCCATGGTAGTTATAAAACTTGGGAATTATTTTTTTTAACTGAGTACTTGGATTTTAGAACTTCTAAATTGTTACTTGCCTTTCAATTGTCATCTAAGAATAAATGGTCTGTTAATTAAAATTTGGTTGGAAGCAAACACAATGCGAAGTTAATGCTCAAATGCAGTAGGTGTTCTGAGAATCTCTTGCATGATTTCATTGGATTTGGTCTACCCCAATTCAAAATGTTGCTTTCTCTGTGTTTCTGAAGAGGCAGTAGCTCCACACCCTGAAATAATGTAATGCAATAGCAAGTTATATGCACTCTTTGTCTAAATCCATTTCAAACTTGCTTGACAACAATATGAACGTATCCTCACTCTTAGAAATGCATCAACAGAGGCAGACAGTAAGGTGCAAAGAAAGACAGCCTTTTAAAATAAAAACTCGAACACTCTAAGAGCAATGCCACATGCTCTATGGACACTTCATTTTATAAGCTGTGTCTTACAGGCTCTAAAAGATGACAAACATACTCTTTTGACTCTAACTCAATGCAAGTTGATATACTAGGTAGACTTAACAAGTCTGTTTTTGCACTCCTATCTTTCTTATTTGATACTAGAGGCCTGGTGCACAAAATTTGTGCACCTGGAGCAGAGGAGAGGGGCATCCCTCAGCACAGCCTGTGCCCTCTCACAGTCCGGGAGCCCTTGGGGGATGTCCAATTGCTGCTGCACTTGCCAGCTGTGAGCCCTGCTTCTGGCTGAGTGGCATTCCCCCTGTGGGAGCACACTGACCACCAGCGGGCAGCTCCTGCATTGAGCATCTGCCTCCTGGTAGTCAGTGCACATCATAATGACCAGTTGTTCCATGATTTTGTTGATTTGCATATTAGCCTTCTTTATTTAGGATGTCACACAACATAAAAAAATCATGGGAGATCCCTGGCTGGTGTGGCTCAGTTGGTTGAATGTTCTCCCATGCTTCAAGAGGTCACCAGTTCCATTCCTGGTCAGGGCACATGCCCAGGTTGCTAGATGGATCATCAGTAGGGATGGTGCAGGAGGCAGCTGATCAATGGTTCTCTTATTGATGTTTCTTTCTCTCTTTTCCTTTCTCTAAAATCAATTTTTAAAAAAACAACATTAAAAATAATAAAAACTATAGGAAAAAAAAGGATCATGGCAGTAATGCAATATCTTCATTTATCCCAATAATTTAATGGGTAAATAAATATTTGTCATAGAAGTGAAATACATTTGTAAAAAGAACCATTCATCTAAACCATCCTCCTGTTTTAATCACCCACAGTGCCCTTGCTTTTGAAATATATTCAAATATTGTAC